GTGTGTGTGTGTGTGTGTGAGAGGGTGGGTATTTAGAGAGAAAACCAAGGAGCTTTGGTATGATGGAATTCATTTCTCTCTCTCCCCCACATACTTTGTGCTCAGGAGCAGATGGATTCAGGCTGTTTACATCACAGAGGTCATGCCACAGTTTAACAGTTGGGGAACTGACTGCTGAGAGAGATGCGCATCGCACCCAGAAGACTGCTAAATCTGGGCTCCGGCAAACTTCTGATGGTGGCAAATTAAACATGCAAATGTCCTCATCACAGCCTCTTTGCACACAGAACTTACCTCAGATGTTCAATTGTTTCCCTAATGAAAACAGCTGCTAGGATAAAATAAGGGCAGAGAGGCAGCTCTGCAACAACTTGTATGCGCGAACTTAAAGAAAGATGAAGATCCCAAATGGATCTGATTCTTAGTCAGTGCAGATGGTGCAGTTTGCAAGCAGTGTGTGTCCAGGTTTCCATTCTTCACTGCAGATGAGCTGTGTCTGTGTCATACAGATGATGACCTTTGGGTTAGGCCAATGTATAGTAACATCTCTGTAATCCTGTGTCAGCCACAGTCTCAGTAAGTGATACCATGCTGGAGGACACAGGACAGGGTCTCCCTGGCCAGCAGTGAAAAAGAAACTTCTGTCTCTAGAGGTGCTACCATGTTCTGCATCTTCTTCAGACGTCCTCCCCGTTTCCCATAAAATAGTAGAAGGGACAGACACCTGAGCAAGAAGGCTGCCAGGACTTGGCGCTCACCATAACACTCTGAGTTAAAAGAGTCATCACATCTTAGGCTGGCCAGGTATGACTTTCTTGTGCACGGGAGGGGAGTCTAGAGAACAGCTGACAAGGTTGCTCATATCAAATTATGGTTTCACAGACAGAGACCAGGCAAGTAGCTGATTCAGGGTGGTTACAAGCATCTTAAAAGTGCTACGTTGCTGTTTTAGTAACACCACATCAGACTCCTCCAACCATGGGGCCAGCAGCCAAATCCCCACCGCTTTTGAGATCTCTCCTTGTGCCACTGCTGGGGAGGAGAGCTGATGCGGCTCCTGTCCTGAGGGCCTGAGTCCACTCCCTTCCAGGCAGGGACAGTCCTCCGCCTTGCTGTGTTTAGGCTGAGACTCACCACGTTGTCAGAGGAACCTTCCCCCAAAGCAACGCTGTAACCCGAAGGAAACGTTTCCTTCACAGGAAGGCGTTTCCATAGAGCTCATCACCAAAGTGACCTTCACCTCCAAGCTCATTTAAGCCGAGAGGAGTGAAAAGGGAGCGCAGATGATCCAGCCAGTTCCCTAGGTTGCTCATCTAACTAAGAGACATGGGAACAGAAAGGTCACACTTCAGCTCCTGGAGGAGAGCCAAGTACTTCTAGCCCAAAAGGAATGTGAGAAGTGCTAAAAACAATAAAAGCTAAACAAGGAAAGCAAGGAAAAAGTCATTCTTACTGAGACCTAATCCTCGTGCATTTTTATTCAAGAACCCGTGTTGTTTGTAGGCTGAAGCACTTTGTCTCCTCACCTCGCTCCCCTCCCTAGTACGCGCCGCGGCTCTTCCAGCCGTGCCGTCCAAAGGACACCCAGCTTCCTTGCTGCAGCGGGGGTCTCTGAGGGTGGCACATCAACGGACACAGGTACAGGTGATCTTGGTACACCCACAGAAGTTTTGCAGTCGTGGCCAGGTAGCAGGGAACATGTGGTCAGCCGCTCCGGTGCTGCTTGTCCAGCCGCTCCAGGGCAGCGTGGGGCCCGGTGGACTTGCACCCAGGGTCACAGAACCCGGTTCACCTCCTCTGCTCACCTCGTTCAGCCCTCTGGGGAGCTGAGCAGTCATGCTTTTCCCTAGGTATCTGGCATACCACCAGAGCATCTCCATTGCCAATTAGGCCACCCACCCACTTGCATCCGTCCCCAATACAAACCCTATTAGCAATAAACAAACAGTTGAAATGCCAGCCAGTGCCTGGGAAGAGCCCTAGACAACTGCATCCAACTGAGCGAGAGCAGGGAAGAGCTGCCTTATGCAAACCAGGATGGGCAAGAACCGAGTCTGAGGCATCTGCTGATCAGGGCAAGGGCCAGGCAGCCCATGGTCCTCCTACTGGTGCATTACTCAGCTTGACCCATACCCGGCTAGTTTGCAGGCCAGCGCGGCCTTATCTTGCTGAATTTCACATCCCCAGGCTGTTCTCAGCATCACACAGACACCAAAAGCTTCACAGTGTGTTCACAGGACGCGTTATCTTGGCAGCCTTCAACATCACAGTAAAGGGCTCTTCCAGCTGCCTAACTCCAAGCTTTCTAACTTTCCTTCTTTGGATGCTTGCAGGAAAGGTCCAGTGTGAGGCTGATGTCCAGCTGGACTTTGCTCAAGTCCCCAAGTTGGACACAGCCTAAGAAATGCAAAAGCCGCCCAACGCTGCTCAGATGTCTTCATAACCCGTACGTAGCACCTTGCTCCCTATGAGGCAGCCTGAGACCCTTACTGCAGCCCGTCTCCCAAAGCCCCTGGGTTTAGTCAGGCAGCCCCACCGCTCACCCTCCACAGAAGGGGCCACCCGCACGGAGGAGGGCTCGTGCCCTCTGTGCTCTCCCCTTGTGCTAAGCCCCTGTTTTTTTTAGGATGTGCCTATGCAACCACAATTCATCGTCATGGAGACGAGAAGCCTTTTCCTCTCCAAACCCAGTCTAAGGGCTTGGATTACAGCCTCTCCTTTGCGCTGGGAAGAGCAGAACGGGGACAGTTGTGTCGCCTCCATGTGCCCCAGCGTGCACCTCAGGCACGTCAAAGCCTCCCTGCTCAGGGCATCAGGGCATCGCATCCCCTCCAGCGCCAGGCACAGCCACAGAGGTGCCCTGCCTCCCCTCCCCGGCATCCACCGGCAGCCGTCGAAAGCACTCGTCTGCGTACACATCCCTCCTCATACGCATTTCCGTAAGGCTCTCCCCATCTCTCTCCCCTCCACCAGGTCACAAACAGCCAGAAGGTTTACACTGACAATTTTCCACAGGTGACCAAAACCACGAGCTTGCCAGCAAGGTGGATAAACCATAACGCATCTTCAAGAAGGGGAACAAATCAGTGACCCTTCTTAACGCTAGCCTCGCTCGGAGGTGCAGAGCCAGCAGCTGCCCGGACGGAGTGTGGGAAGTGGGGACACACCAGCCACAGGCCTAATAC